GGTGAGTCTTGCGGCATGTGGTAGCCACAGAGTCCATTACTCACCCGTCCAGCAGCCAGCCTGCACAGATGAAGTTGGCCAGCTCTGGCATTCATAGTTGGACCTGTGGGTTTCATGGCAGTGGTGGCCACATGCTTCTGAATGGACAACCACGCTCTCAGGGTTACGTGCTCTGCTGTCACCTCCACTGTTGACCCCAAGATCTGGTCACAGCTCACAGCCTCTCTGATGAACAGCACAGCCCCTCCTAGCTTGGGCGGGCATTCCTCCATGAATTTTCTTTGAAAGGTCCCTCTGTCCTCTTCCCCACTCTCAGCTGCTGTTGCTGTCACTGCCACAGCAAGTTGTAGCCAGAACAGCCTGGCAGAGCCCACCAAGCCACAGCCAGCCGGAAGGGCAGGTCAAACACATCGGCAGGAACCACTGCCTGCAACCAGCGAGCAGCAACGTTGCACGTGGAGCTGTCTTGGCCACAGCAACACATCAGGACTTTGAAAAGTCCCGAGCAGTCCCTGACAATCAGGAGAACATGGGAAGCCAAACAGGGCTTGCAGAGTTTGATCTGCCAGATGTGCAATGTGGACCCTCCCGGCTATTTTCTCTTTCATATCCTATTGGTACCGTATGAGAGACTCCATGTGAATTAGGCCTGACTCACCCGTGGAAGAAAACCCTGCATGGGGAGGAAACAACTTGATCCAGTGACTGGTTCTATGTGGAAGCAGCAAAAGCCTGGCTTAACTTCCCTCCTCTGCTGTGACTCTTTGCATTCCTTCAATGCCATGTGACGTATTCTTGAATTCATGCCATGAGGGTTACCTCAGAAATGCAAGTACCTTCTTTATTTCTTAGAGTAAAGAAATACATGTTTGGAGGCAAAATGCAGGGAGTGGAAGTATCCCAGGTCTGCAGGTGGGCTGTTACTGGGGGGGTTGCCCACTGGGTTTGCACCCCCTGGGAATACGCTGGGCAGAACAAGCTTGGTTCCTCTGCAGCGACTCTGACCCCTGGCAAGTCAGCACCCAGGGTATTAAGTAGTGCCACTGGGTTTGTTTACTGATAAACTTGCTAAGATGTGAAATCTGTGTGAAGGGACAGCACATGGTTAAAGCTGATTTTATTGACATAGCTCAGCGGTTACAGGAGCCTCACAAAAGAGCAAAATCCCAGTCTCCTCTTCAGCTTAATCAGTGAATCTAAGAGCTGATTTTCATCCAGCTCCTGTTCTTTTTGTCCATCTAACCAATTGCTTTACAGCTGCATAGAGAACTCCTAAAGATGTTCTGATGAAGCGTCTTCTTTCTGTCTTTCGGATTTGCTGGGTCATGGAGCCCCTGTCATGCTGCCCTGGCACACGTGTGCCTGGCTGCCAGAGGTGACTCGGAGGGCAGACGACAGGGATGCACCTTGAGTGACCTGGCTCTGATCCAGGAGAACTGGACAGCCTGCCTCAGAGCCGGGGCAAAGCCTTGGGCAATAAGCCACACGCTGACCAAGCCCTGCTGGAGCCAACAGCTGGGCAAGCCCTGTGAGATGGCGTCACTGTGCGGAGGTGGCTCAGACCTGCGCTGTGGGCCAGGGCAGGCACCCTGGCATGACGCCGCATCCTCTGGCTTGCCCACTCCCTCCTACACCAGCGTAGGAAGTTTTCTCCCCAGCCCTGCCCTAATCGCTCATTCCTGGCCTCCGGCCACGGTTTGCTATTTCTGGTGTCTCTGGTACAAGTATCTGCAGAACTGCACTGTGAAATGAGCTGAGTTAAAAACCAGCAAGTGCAACCAAGTTTCTGGTTTCTTCTGAGGCACTGTTTTAAACCTCAGTCATGTTAGCATCTCATTTACAGTTGCTTCAACTTGGGGAGCTGGGGTGACAGCACAAGGGGACAGGGATGGGGACAGGATGGGTGGGAACCTCTTTGGTTGGCGTAGCTGGGAAAGCAACATCCCTACATCTCAGCCTTGCTGGAAGCTCTCTCTACTCTTCCTGGGCTCCCATCGCTTTGCTGGCAGATTCCTACATTGCTTGAAGGAGTTGCATTTCCCTTTAGGGAGTAAATGGTTTGTGTAGTTTGGCATTTACTCTGTCATGGCATATGTGGGACTATCATTAACAGGAATGACACATCCATCCAGCAGAGAATA